AAAATCTTGTCAAGTTCAGATTATGGGGAGCATCTACTCATCAGCAGACACTACATATGCTTGGCTTGGCCCGGCCGCTGACAGCTCCGATGAAGTGATGAAGGCGTTCTTCCAACTAGCTTTCTACTTGGAAAGCTTTGGGTGTCCTGGCCTACTTTCATACGTTCAATCGATGTATATGTCTGGTGTTCAACTTAATTGCGATCTCCGGGAGCCTACCGAACGAGATTTACTCCAACAAGCAATAGACATTTTTGTTCCCCTAGCACGCGAAAGGAAGGTTCTGGCTTTTTCTGAAAGGAGTTGGTTCTCGCGGATATGGGTCATTCAAGAGTTTTGCCTCTCTGCAAAGGTAAACATTGTTTGCGGCCGTCTTGTATTGCACGAAGAGATTTTGAGCATAGCTGTGGATGTGTTCCGGGGCTTGTCATTTGCAAGGGAGAATGCAAATGTTCAGGTTCCTGCAGACCTTTTGGAGAGACTTGTCATGCTCAACTCACTGCCAAGTGATTGTCGACTCGGTAGATTCCAGCTAAGTCTTTTTGGGTTGAGACAATGGCAGCGCCTATTGCGACAAAAGGGAATGTCTTTACTCGAACTACTGATAGAGGTATCAGCTCCCGAAGTATTTAGTATGGCCCCATTCCGTTCTACACAGTATCGGGATAGAATTTACGGACTGCTTGGCCTAGCGTACGATTCGGAAAGGCTTGGTATCTGGCTGGATTACACTGAAACAACATCGACTGCAACAGTGCTGACGCAGACAGCACGGGTGATCATTAAAAAGGAAGCAAGTGTCTACCTTCTTCGGTATGCACAGTTTCCAAAGGACAAGGTCGAGGATAACGATGCTGATATCCCGCTACCTTCATGGGTACCAGACTGGTCCAATGAGAGAAAAGAGTCCTACGAACGTGGACGTCCAGGTTTGCCTCTGTTTCGGCCTGCGGGAAGTTTACCGCGGTAGACCTTCTACCTCCCCCTGACGATGCGACACTTGGACTTTGTGGCTATTTGGTCGATACCATTAACGCAATGGGCATTCCGTGGGACTTTCATACGGCTACCGATGTTAGGTATTGCTATTATGCTATGGGGTACTTTGCAGCCTTCAAGAGGTTGCAAGTTCTCTCCGAGAAGAACTCCGACATATATCCGAGTAGTTCGAGGCGCGATGAAGCAGAATAGCGTGTTACCATTACTGACCAGTGGAAGGAAGGGCGTGGTCTCAAGGATCTTGACTACTGTAGGGCAAAACCAGAGACAGTCACTCCTGCCTTCCAACAGTTAAAGGAAGCCTGGAGGTGCTATACATACCGCCTAAGAGAAGCGATCCAAAACAACGATCTGGATCCATATTCGGAAGCCTCAAAATATATCGAAGATCAGTGGGACGAACTTACGAGCGCCAAATTATATACACATCATACACGTATATCAGATAAGAGATCTCCCTACGTTACCGCCACAAAAGGGTATCTGGGGATGGCTCCCCGGCGTTCAAAAGTTGGAGACGTCGTCGTCATTTTCTGCGGAGATAGGATACCATATGTGATCAGGCTAAAAGGCAACGGAGACAACACCTACACCTTTGTGGGCGAGGCATATTGTGACGGGATCATGGATGGAGAGCTTGCGGATAAGCTGGAGAGTGAGAGGCAGGATTTCTACCTTGTTTGAAATCCATTTCGTCAATTTCTCTTCTCTTTTTCTTTTCTTTCGTTCCTTTCTATAATTTTTTACTCCCACCTTGTGTGGCCAATCTCCGGTTATAGTTCCAAATAGGTTGGGCGTTTGGACGTTTTCGTACTTCGCTTCTACTTGTTCACGCCGTCAGGGTCGAATGATCTCGTTTTTCTTTCCTCCAACAAAACGCTCATTACTTGTTCTTTGTCTCCGTGAAAACAAGTCTTTGAACTGCTGCTGCGTGTGATAAATACGTGGAAATGCCCGGTCATCGTCTTGCTCTCAACAACACTCACCCCAACATCCGACTTCGTAACCGCTCACACACCCTTTTCGCCCGGCTTGGTGATTGCTCACATATAGAACTCGGCCATGTCAAAACTATCATGCAATATTCCCCTTCAATTCTTCTCTCATACGAGGGTAATCTAGTATCATTGTCGGACCATGCTTACTCGGGATTATACTTACTCGGGATTATACCCCGATTCTGACGGCCGGTGTAAGAATCGGCATGGTGTTATGCTGTGCCGCCAAAGAAAACGGACCAAAATTCTGCGCTGTTCTTTTTCTTATGGACAAGATCCATTTGAAACTTAAAATCCCGTCCACTTACTACCAAACTTTGCAGGCCTTTTTTTGACGATCTGTGATTGAGTGTCCAAAGGGGAAGTACGACGATGTTGTTCACTTGGAAGGAACCATCTACAGTTCAGCACATCCAACCCTAACCCCTCATCACCACTCAACCGGAAGATATCGGCCAGCTTCCCCGCACGTGACAGCTTCTTGCACAACTCCCCTCTCACACATTCATTAATTCGCGCACAGACCCCTCTCCGGTGCCCGCACCGCTTATGCTTACACCAATCCAGTCATTCACGAACTCACCAACCAATCAATCGGTCGCAACCGACGACAGCTTGCCCAGCCCAGTCGCAAACTGCGACCACAATCCACCACCACAACTGGAACTGCCTCGCTCCTTGCAACTCCATCACCTGGCATCATCAAACTCCGCCCGCCTCCCGCGCCCGGCTCCATCATCACGCACCCACGCGGACACAGCATAGTGGAGAAACGCCCTTACCGTTCGTGAACGAAGCGCAACTCCACATTGCCCCGGATTTCCCGTTCCGTCAGTTCGATTCAATTGAG